CCTCCAACCTCCATGGCCACCCCCCATTCAGCTTCCACCTCCTCTGCACTCCCTTGCCCTCCCTCTACCTCCATAGCCGCCTTCCACCTCTGCTGCACTCCCTTTCCCTCCCGCAACCTCCATAGTCACCACCCGTCCATCTCCCACCATTGCCCTCCCTTACCCTTCCCTAACTTCTATAGCCATTCTCAAGTCATCTCCTACCTCCACTGCACCTCCCAGACCCATCTCACCCATCTCAACTTCCATAGCGATCCCTGAACCCATAACCTACCTCTGCTGCACGCGAACTGTGTCTTTATCACTGGAGTATCTCATGGTCAGACCTGACTTCAAAATGTCTTCCATGGAGGTAATGCTTCTAGTGTTTTAACGCCATGAAGAGTGCATACAACTCCTGCTGGTTTCTGATATGGCATCTTCTTAAACATCTACTCAATAAGTCTCAACTTCTTCCCCATACGTGTTCTAACACTGCACCTATCCCATATCGACCGGCGTTAGTGGTAACGATAAACGACTTTTTTGGGTCTCGAATGTTCAGGACAGCATGATACATGAGAGCAGACTTCAATTTCCTGAAAGCCTGCTCACCTTTTTTTCTGCAGTCCCAAGGGGTGTCAAGTCGAGTTAGATTTGTCAAGGGGGCAACTATATTGCCATAGTTGTTTACAGACAATCGATAAGATCCAACCATCACCAAGAAAGATCTGACCTCAGTCACAAACCGAGGTTGCGGTTAGTCCCTGATGGCCAATACCTTTGCATCCTCTGGCCTCATTCAATCCTCAAGATTTCATGACCCGAGTACGAGACCTCAGTTCATCCAAATTTTCATTTCTCTATGTTGATCTTGTACTTGTGTTTTCAAAGGAGATATTATACCATCTGTAGATGTTATGCATGGTCCTCCAAGGCCTTACCAACGATAACTATATTGCGGAGATGATAACTCTGATCTTATCTTAGTCATGAAATACTTTGTTCGTCACGTGTTGGAATGTACTAGGCGCATTACAGAGCCTGAAAGGTATCACTACAAACTCATACAACCCATATTTGGTCTGAAATGCAGTCTTGTGTTGATCCTCGGGTCCTATCTTCATCTGGTGGTAGCCAAACTTCAGATCTATGTTATTGAAGTAATTACATCCCTGCACTCCATCCAAGAGGTCATTAATGCGAGGTAGGGGCTCTGCATGATGCACAATGATGGCATTGAGGCCCCTAAGGTCGATGTAAGGTACCTCCCTTCTTGGGTACAAATAAAACCAGTAACGCATAAAATGAAGTACTCGGCCTAATTCATCCCTCTTCAGTCAGGTCCTTTTAGTTGCTGGGAGCTCATCTAACTCCGCTAGAGACATCCTATAGACCCTTCCTTCGGGTGTTGCCCTCCCTGGGACAATCTCTATCACATGGACTCTCGCACTCTCCACAACTCCAATGCGTTCCTCCTGGAGGTCTGGAAACTTGGCCGCAACTCTTGCTATCTATGGAGGGGTCCTTAAGGTCTGGCCCTTTGGAGACACGAACACTAAGAACATACCTTGTTTTGGTTCTGCCTGTATTAATTGTAGAATGCACTAGCCCACAAGCATCCATAGGAATCCATCATCTTATGAGGTGAGTATCTGTTTAGACAGATAGTCTTCCCATCAGGAGTTTTGTACAACATAGTCTTGACGTCCCACTCAAATTGAGGCTTAGTCACTTCTAATTAGTATATTCCTCGTATCATATCGAATAGGATTTTGTCACTCACAAGAAAAGACAACTTGTGCCTAATCTTGCCTTCCCCGCACAAGTAGATACAAACCACTTCCTTTATGCAGACTTCAACTTGATTTTCGTCACGTTGACTGCTCCAGCAGATACTCCAGGTGTACTAATCTGCAACACTTGGTCTTGTAAGCGCAACCTCTTCACAATGGCACAACTAATACAGCCACGGGTGGAACCAATGTCTGCAAGTGCCCCTGCTCTGCAAGTGCCCCTGCTTTACGACCTGGTACATTGACTTCCATAATGATAAGCTCTTCTTAGCACCCTTTGCCATTGTCACCCAAGAGGTCGTAAGATCTTTGTGCGACAGTTCTATCACTAGCTCTTCTAAGGATTCAGTCACATCGCGAGAACAGAGCATCTCCTGATCAGACTATAACTGAGCTGTAACTGTAAGGTCAGTAGCCAATGCCCTGTCACTTTGAGACGTGGAGGGGGTGCTTAGCTCGAGCAGGACTAACTATTCTTTCCCCTACAGACTCTGTTGAAGGGGCTACACCCTCTGCTGGCTGGTCTTGTTTCCCTGATTCTTCTTCAGTCAGCGTTTTCTATATGCCGTGAAACACTACTGGCCGCTGACTAGCCTCTAGTCTAGTTTGATTGCGATCATCAACCTCTGCCGTAGGATGACCACTCATATAGAATGGAAACAACTGCTCTTTGTGCAAAGACAGCCTGTCCTGTCTTTCAGTATTCAGTAGCTGACTGGGTGTGGGAAGTGAAAGATAACCCAAATGACTGCAAACATAGAACCAGTAGTGCTATAGATACACCCAGGTCTATTACAACAACAACTACTCTCTAATTCGGCCTATGAAAAACAGCGCAGAGTAGTTATTAGTCTAGGTAGCTTACCCATCAGTCAGTACTGTCCCTAGGACGTACAGATGTCTGTCCGACAACTAACCAAAGCAGAAACTGAAATTGCTACAAATTGAAAATATACAAGTGAGCATGCAGTTTGAACCTACACCTTTCCTCATGCTCCACTCTTTTTCCGTCTGACCCCCTTAACTTACAACTTACGTGGAAAATAAGTGACTAACCGGTATCCAGACCCACCAGTCCACAGACTAATCAGTGGGTGGCCAAGCCCGATCAGGAATTATCATAGACTCGCAACGACTTCCATTCAAGACCAATGAGGTGATAATTAGAGTGGTATCCAGGACGACTTCCGTTTCCAGGCCACCAAGTCTGACTCTCTCTATAGCACTGCTGAAGCTTGGTGTAATCTGCACAAGCATGCATGTTCTTGTCCCACATCATGTGCTTTATCCACCGAGGGCACTTCCCATGTACCACCCCTCCCACAAGATGCACCAGCAAGATACCGCGATCTCGCAACTCTACGAGATGACTCTCACGTAAAATGCTCTTCCTCACGGTAAGAAGAACAAAGGAGGTAGATAAGGTTAGGGTTATCTACCTGATGCTGTCCCCAACCATAGATTATCTCACCAACTGTTATGATGTGCTATTTGATGACCGGTCATCGCTTAGGGACCACCGATAATGCAATGCCAGTAACACCTTAAGCAACTGCAAGCACCAATAAACTCTCACCTCGATGCCACGTAACTTGTTCGACCTCCACCCATGCCTTCTCTACCCAAAGCATGGCCTGGTCCCGGAGGCAATAAAGTCAATCACACTGCCCACGGTTGACCACTGGCACCATATGACCTGACCCGCCAGCCACGAAGGCGCATGTCAATGAACCCGCTCTGATGCCAAAATGCAAGGAACAATAATGCAAGAGCTCATAAAAGAACAAGCATAACTGAGCTGAGCTGAAAGCAGAATACCGAAGCCGAGAGTCCACCAATTCGGCAAACACAGCAATGAGACCACTGAAGTCTCTTGATAAAGAAAGCCCCACTTCTAGCCTCCAATAATCAATAACACATCAATGCAGTAGTCTTAGCCTTCGGCCCTTCTTCAACTGTGGTGTGTCTGCCTTACTCTACTTCCTAGTACCTCCACACACGCTAGTCTACCACATTCAGCTCTCTATCCATTTGTCACTGGCCGGTGCTGCTTGAAGGCTCTGCTCACACACACATCCACCGCCGACACCAACCAGTTCCTACTGTGTTTGTTCCCTTCCTGACCACTTCCACGCTCCGCCACCCTGTTGCCGTGCTTGCGCTGCCCAGCTATGGCTGGTGCCAGTGCAGCAGGCACCACAGCTGGCCCCTTCCTCTCGGGCGCACTCCTGGCCGCTAGCTGCTGCCCAGCGCTGCCACGAGCTGCCAAATGCCCGAATGCCGTCTCCCGCGACCTCCCTCCTTTTATCTGTTTTGGAGGCTGCGGTCAGGATCCAGTAGGCAGAAGTAGGCTGTGCCTGCTGCCTACTGGATCTGAGTCTGGGTCCCAGCCACTGTGACTGAGTCGAGGTTGGGCCTACCGGTTAGCTACAGGGGCTGGCGACTGTTTTCAGGCCCACACTTTCTCCCACTGGCCTTTCTTAGGCCCAGTGACATTTTCTCAGCCCGCCCTCACTTAGGGCGGCATGACTATTTCATGGGCAGCCTTCTGAGGCACGCCGAGGCCTGGGGCCTCGCAGCTCGCTGGCCAAACTACTCGATCCTCTAATCATGAATGTTAAAATCGATTGGTGTGGCAGATCTTTGCAATTCTGTTGCGTTTGCATAATGGCAATACATGCTCCTTCTTCAAAGTGCATCTGCATTCTCCACCGACTTCTCAACAGGAGTCTATCAATGTATGTTCAAGCTGCTCCTTAGCTCTTAGATTATATGTAGTTGCCAAGCAGATTTACCAATCTGTGATCTCTGGCACTTTCTGGAGATGCCCCCACGACACATTATGCTGTCTTCAAGCCTACGTACCCCCCTGCATGACACATGATACTCTCTTCAAGCCTATGTACACCCCCGCATGACACATTATGCTCTCTTCAAGCCTGTGTACCTTGTTGCTTGATGTTTGTCTCATATTGTCTAGTAGATGATATGTAGTTGGTAACCAGATTCGGCAGTGATTTTGTGATCTAAGACAGTGTCTGGCGATGCCCCTGCATGACAAATTGTAAAATTGATATGCTCTCTCTAAACCGCTCTACGCGGTCTGTTGATCTGTTCACAGGAGTGTGATATAAGATGTGGAAGAGGGAGGGAGGGAAGGGTAGAACAGGCAGGCAGGGAAACTAAAGGAATTGCGTTTTTGGGTGTCAAAACTCTGTTGCACAGGTATGACAGTGTTACAGAAGATGGTGTGCTGGACTGGCAAAATGAGCTGACAGAGAAGAACAAGTGCTTTCTTGAGGTGACAGATGGACTTTTCACAAACTACTGCTGGAAAGAGCGATCGCCGGCTGCATGTGCTCTGGCAGCTGGGACCAGAGCTTCCGATGTTTACATGGGTGTGGACGTCTTCGGGCGAAATACCTACGGTGGTGGTGGTTATCATGTAGGAATCTTCTCCAGTAACTCCTGGCTACAACCTTATGGCCCTGATATGCCAACCATATTTTATGGAAAGGAACCGTTTGGCTGGGCTGGAATTTCAAGTTACGCATTTGTTTGATCCTCCGTTGTGACGCCTTTTGATTGTATGCTGCAGGACACATATATACAGGACTGAAGAATGTCAGGATGAAGGTGCCTTGTATCTGAGATGCTTGGGTGGGCTTAGGAGTGCAGGAGAGATCTATGAGGGGGACTCGTTTCACAGGCTTACTCCACCACTACGTTAGGGTAAGTTGTGGGAGAGCAGATATTTCCCAGGGTCGGCAAGGGGCATTTAGCTTCAGAGTAGTGTAGTATTTAGTGCCAGATAGCAGCATCTGTTAGCGCTTGGTCATTAGGCAGAGAACAGTGGCTGTTGATGGCCTGGAGGCAGATAACAGCTTTAGCAGCCACCGCACTGGAAGCAAGGCTGCCAAACCTGCCTGTTTTTGCCAGGCCAGGTTACTGATCCAGGCCTGCAGGCAGGTTGAAACAGCACCCAGATTCTTTCTGTCTTGCAGTGCCATGGATTCTCTGACCCATGAGTACATGACCCTATTTTTCAGCACGAGTGGGTGGCAATTCAACACTGGGCTAAGCCCTCTGCCCAGCACTGTGCTCAGCCTAGGCACAGCCCTCTGTATATGGCGATGTTCACCAGAATGAGGTGGATCTACACGGTGATATGTTTGAACAAGTTAGAGAGGGTTCAATAGAACAGTCACTCACAGCCTACCTTTCTTTTATCCGATGTGCCTCTCTGAGGGGGGGGAAGGGGGGGGAAGGATTGTTGAGGATTGAAGCTTCAAAGTTCAAACTTTGTGCAGAACTGGTGGGGATCAATTCCATGATGGGTATGGGGGGTTGTTGAGTCTGTGAAGGCCAGTGGCGAAGGAAGTCACTTCTGTAGGTGAAGGGAGCTGTGAGCGTGGTCAATTCTAGAGATGGGGAGCAGAAGGGATGGATTCCCCAAACGGCAGGGTCGAGAAGAGGGGCACTTCTTTTAGGCAGAGGGGGTGGGACTGGTCGTTTTGCAGATGGGGGGGGAAGTCAGTGGGTGACACTGGGTGTTGAGTCTGCTGATTCTGCAGACGGGGTGAGGGAGAGGGGTTCACTTTTAAAGGCGAAGGGGAGCGCAGGGGAGTTTATTCCACAGATGAGGGATCGATTGGGGTCAATTCTGTGATTGGTGGGGGTGGGAAAGGTTGTTTTTGTAAGTGGAGAGGGGTGAGGGAGAGCTGATTTGTTGAATGGATAGTTGGGGGGGGTTGGCCACTTTCATAGGCAGAGGGAGGCATGGAGGGTCAATTTTGAGAATGAGTGAGTGGGGAGGCCACTTTCTGGAAAGGGGCAATAGGGGGCATAGGGGAGCAAGGGAGGTCGATCCCACAGATTTGTGAGGGCTGTCAATGTTGTGGATGGGCGGACGGTGGCGACTTCCCTCCCTTTGTAGACAGGCCTGCGCACGAAGGATTGCTGTAATAGATACAGGGGTGGGGGTTGTTACCTTGGTAGACCGGGGGGTTGAGGAGGGTAGTCATAGACCAATCAAAAAGAAGACGAGGTGGAAGAAGAAGAAGAGGAAGGAAAGGAGAAGAAGAACAAGAAGAAGTTAGTAAGAGAGGGTAGATCAAGAGGAGAAGGAAGACAGGAGGTGAATGAAGTTGGGAGGGACTCAACAGGAGAGTCTAAGGTGGGCACATACATCTGTAGCAAGGGGGCAAGGGGGGTCATTGGCGGGCAGGGCTACATATTCAAACTTTGAATGTGTAGCCCAGTCCACCACTGCCAATTGTTTTTGTTTTTGTTTTTGTTTTTTTTAGAGGAACTGGTAGGCCACCCAGATGCAGGTGGGGTCGTTCGACCAGACCCGGGCTTTTGGGCCAGGGGAGCTGAGCACCTTGGCCGGTAGCCTACATATATCCACTGTATTGCATATATATGTCCGTATTACGCACAAGGAAAGCCGATGTGGCACACGTGAGCGGGGAAAAGCAAGGGAGAGTAGATAGTTGAGGAAGGTGAGACAGGGAGGGCGATGAAATGGAGGATTTGTTTTTATGTTCTGTTTTATTGAGCAACACCACATTGCATATGACAGAAGAGTCGCAGCACGACCACATGACAACAACAATGTGTTTTTAAAGAGTTGTATCATCAATGCACTATGAATAACGTCCTTACTTTCTCTCTGTCTTCGGCTTGGAAAGAAGAATTACAATACAACCACCACTATGAATAA